GTTTTGTGGGACTGTAATAGTTCTGAGCATCTACACTGTAATGGTTGCCTCCACAATGGATTTTTTTATTACAAATCCTAAGAGTGATTACTGGAATACAAAGAGATTTAAAAAATGGCTTGTAAGATCAGCAAAACTACTAACATTAGAGCAAAAACATTAGCAGAAGTTAATCAAGACATGGGTGAATTTAGAGCCACAGTTTTACAAATAAAGTAAATTATTTGTTGCTCAAGCATAATCTTGTTTGTCAACTATTTTCTGGCTTGTGTTGCTTTTATGTGTCAGAGTTCTCTCATACTATGGATGGTCAAGTTGATCATCTGCACAAGGAGAAAACAAAATTTCTCAAGGTGACTTTGAATAGACATCATGGCTAAAATGACTTTCCCCTTTCCTTGGTCCCCTGCTGCTATTATAATTCTGCTTTGCTTGCCTATATTAGCTAGACTAATCATGCAAACAACACCTTAACTCTGACCTCTATTACAGCCACAATTTTCTCTTTAAAAAATAAGAAGTGAAGGTTGGAGAGATGGCTCAGCAGTTAAAAGAACCAGCTGATCTCCCAGAGGACCTGGGTTCAACTCCCAGCACCCACATGGCAGCTCACGACTGTCTGTAACTCCAATTCCAGGGGATCTGGCACCTTTGTACCAATGCACATAAAATAAAGTTAAATTTTAAATAATAATAAATGGGGAGATATTTGGAGCATGGACATCTTTGTGCTCACAGACAAGCATTTAGGGGAACCTAAAATGTTAAACACATAGGATTATTCCTTCAAGGGAAGGAACTCATGACCTGTTTTCTGCCCAAAAGGCTGAAGTTAATGTAATTTTTAACCTGGTGACCTTTGTGCAATCTGTGTGACTGGAGACTTTTCAGCAACAGACCCTTCCCCAGACCCTTCTCATGAACCTGCTTTTCTATAAGCCAGTCAATCCATAGAACCTATCTTGATGGAAGGTGCCACATGCACTATACAAAGAGTCATGTATGATCTGCATTTAGCTTACTTTGTTCCTCAAAAGAGATTTAGGTATGCTTTGCTGTGCATGTGGTGTCCTGGTTAGGGTTACTCTTGCTGTGAAGAGACACCATGACCAAGGCAACTCTTACAAAGGAAAAACATGTCATTGGGGTGGCTTACAGTTTCAGAGATTCATTCCATTACCAACATGGTGGGGAGCATGCCAGCATGCATGCAGACATGGTGCTGGCTACATCTTGATATGCAAATAACAGGAAGTGGACTGTCTCACTGGGTATGGCTTAATCATATAAGAGACCTCAAAGCCCACCTCCACAGTGACACACTTCCTCCAACAAGACCACACCTACTCCATCAAGGCCCCACCTCCTAGTAGTGTCCCTCCCTTTAGGGCCATTTTCTTTCAAACCACAACACAAGAAAAGTTTTCACCAAACTGTGTTGTGCTTAAGTAAGCCTAAAATTAACCACTAGGGGTCAGACTTCCAAAGTTTGAACCAATACTGGCTCCTGAGTCTTGCACTGAACTGCATTTTCTCTGAAGGTCACAGAGACCCTTGAAGCCAGGGCTTGCCGATTGGGCTAGGCTGGCTGGCCAATGGGAGTCCCGGATCCTTCTATCTCCCTACCCCTGCCCAGTGCTGGGGTTATAAGCACATGCACCCACATTCAGCTCTCTTATGATGGTGCTGGGGAGCAAACTCAGGCCCCCATATTTGCACAGGAAGCACTTTGCCATCTCCCCAGCCCAAACTACCCACATCTTATGAAACATCAGTTTTACTTAAAATCACTAACATCCTGTTTTCCCACACTTGGATACTTGGCAGAAATTTTTTCAAAAATTAACAAAGCAGATGATTTGTCGTTTCAAAACAAACAAAAAGTACTTGGGAGTATTTGTTACCAGTGCTCTTACATTACAATGTGTAGTTGATATAACATTAAGAAATGATATCAAGGGCTGGGAGATTGGGTTAGTGGGTAAGAGCACTTGAAGTGCAAGCATTAGGGCCTGAGTTCAAATCCCCAGAGCCCACATTAAAAAAATATATAGCCAGAGCTATATAGTGAGGCCCTGTTTCAAAAAGCAAAAATAAACAAACAAAAACAGATTTATCCATGTGGTAGTACATGCCTTGGATCCCAGCATTTGGGAGGCAGAGGCAGGTGGATCTCTGTGAGTTTGAGGCTGGCCTAATCTGCATAGTGAGTTCCTAAACAGCCAGGGCTATATAGAGAACATTTTTTTAAAAAAATTGGTGTCGAGGGCCTGGAGAGATAATTCAGTGGTTAAGAACAGTGGCTGCTCTTGTAGAGGTCTCTAGTTCAACTCCCAGAACCTACATTGCAGCTTGAAACCATCTGTAACTCCAGTTCTGGGGCATCCGATGCCCTCTTCTGGCCTCTGCAGGCACCAGGCACATGAGGTACACAATATGGGTGCAGGCAAAACACCCAGATACATAAAACAAAAAATGAAAGAAACGATGTCAACGCAACTTAAAAACCAAAGAGGACGTGAAGTTTGGAGGGAGATGGGGTGAGGAAACTAGGGGGAGCCAGAGCAGATAGTGGGGGACGGATATGATTAATATACACTGTATAATAAGCATACGAAACTTTCAAAGAATAAAAATGCTATTTAAAAAAAAACAATAAAGAAGATGGAGGGAAAGTGACGTCAATGTTCCTTCTCCTTGAACCTTGGTCTTTGTAACCACAGTGACCAGTGCAGTAGAAGAAACTGGAAGTGACTTCTGCAGCAGTGTTCCTTCTGTTTCTATCCACCATGTTAGGAGGACTCTTGGGCCACAGTGTAAAAATGGCTGATGGAGACAGAACAGCCTCTAGCTCACAGCCTGTATCACAGCTAGGATTGAAGCGAGTGGATTTCCAGGAGATGCCAGGCTTCAGGCTGTGAGTCTTCGCTGCCAATGCCACAGACGTGATCACAGGGTCGACGACGCCCCTGCTCAGCCCTGCAACTACTATCAACAGGTATCGTGGAAGAAAGCAAGCGATGAAAAGACGATAAACTATAATGGTTGTTGAAATCGCTGTGCCGTGGAGACGTTCCTTCTGCAGCAGTGTCGCTGTGTGGTGCATCTAGAGAGTGTGCGTGCCTCTTGGTCATTTCTTTCCTAAGCACACATCAGTGATGCCTGCTTCCCTGGGTCTGAGGCCCAGGAGGGATGATGGATGGAGCACACTGACTCCATGGGGCTTGTTTCAGCACACCTCATGAGTAACCCCTACCTGGTGCTCACTGACCATGCCACTCAAAGGTCAATGGGGACGAGAAAGAGCCCTTTGGGGGAATGGAGAGATAGCTCAATTGGTTGAATGTTTACCTTGCAAGCATGAGGACTCAAATGTAATGCCCAGAGCCCACAATTTAAAAAGCAAGTATTGTGGACTGCACTTATGATTTTGAGGAAGGCAGAGATGGTGGATGTCTGGAGCTCTCTACTTGGTGAATTCCAGGCCAGTATGAAACCCCTATAGAGCACTTACAGGCTCCATCCACATGCACACACATCTACACACACACACACACACACACACACACACACACACACACACACATCTGGAAGGAAGGAAGAGAAAGGAGAGAAGGAAGGAGCGAGGAAGGGAGGAAGGGAAGAAAGGAAGGAGAGTGAGAGGGCTCCTTTTATGTAGCCATTGCTGCTTTTATGTTAAGAAGCCAGTGGCTCACACTTTCAATCCTAGTATTTGGGAGGCAGAGGCAGGTGGACCTCTATGAGTTTGAGGCCAGCCTGGTCTACAAAGCTAGTTCCTGGAGAGCTGGAGGTAAATAAAGAAACCATGTCTTGAAAATAAATAAATACAAAAAACAATTTAATCAAGTGATTGTTTTTAAGATTTATTTATTTTATGTGTATGAGTATCTTGTCTCCACATGTAGCTGTGTACCACATGTGTGCCTGGTGCCCACAGAGGCCAGAAGAAGCTGTTGGATGCCCTAGAGCTGGAGTTACAGACAGTTGTGAGTTGCCATGTGGATGCTGGGAATTGAACCTGGGTCCTCTGGAAGAGCAGTATTTATTTGTAACCGCTGAGCCATGCCTCTAGCCCTAGTTGCATACTCTTTGTAGAAGAAGTGAACATTGTGGTGAATATTCTGAAGCAGAAGTAACTAAGTTATGATATTGAAAGTGTGGAAATTGGGTCTTGCCAATAGCCAGATCTGGCTCCTTTCAAATATGGAAGATGCAGTCAAGTCTATGAAGTCAATAATTTGCATTTGTTGCTGTTTATACCATGCTCAGACAATGAATAATGTATAATATTAATCATATCAATCATCTAACATTCGTCTCCTGGAGAATGTGTGGTCTTCCTACACATTAGCTGTGGAAGTAACTATGTCCTTGCCCGTTTATGTTTGGGGCTGCCTCGAGCTTCAGGTACAGTCCCGATGCTCATCTCAACCCAGCATGCAGAAGATCAAACATCTGCAGGCCTAGACCTGAAAAGCAGAGCTCCCAGTTTTAAGTACCTATTCTGTGGGTCCGTCTCCTCTCTAGCCTGCTTCCATTAACTGGGGCTCTGGAATGAAATTACACTTGCCCTGCTCCAGTGTTAATAACAAGAAGTGTGGGGCTGGAGAGACAGCTCAGTGGTTAAGAGCTCATTCTGTGTTGCAGAGAACAGGAGATCTGTTCCCAGCACCCAAGACTCACACCCACTTTTAACTCCAGTTCCAGAGGATCCAATGTCCTCTTCTGGCCTCTGAGGGCCCTGCACTCATGTACACATACCTGCACACAGACACACATTCATGTGTTTAAAAAAGAAAAACAAAATCTTTTTAATAAAAGAACAAGAAGTAAACGAGCATCCTTTCTTTCTTATCTTAGATATATTGTGTTCCCAAGACAAAGAGTAGCAACACATAGAAATTTGCTGACAAACTTATCAAATAAAATCAGAGGAAATTCGGCTCCTCTGAGCAACACACAGACCTGTTTTAGCTGCACTTGACTGCTCATGGCCCAAGGCCATGAAGAGCCCAATAAAAGCCAGAGCTCAAGAACAACAACCCAGATCCAAGGCTTCTTTTCTACTGCCCAGCCATGAAGCTCCTTTTTCCTCTTGTTGCCAGCCTCATGCTACAGTATCAGGTGAAATCAGGTAAAGTAGGCTCCTGGGTTTGGGAGTGGTTGATATGAGGAAGCAGGACTGGGCTGCCCATGGTGCCAGGACCCCTAAGAGATGCTGAAAGAGGACATTCCCAAAAGAGATGCTGCAGAGCTGACCCAATCCCTAGACTGTGTCTGATGGAGATGGCAAGGAATCACAAGGAGAGTGGGGTATTGCTTGTGTATTCAGAAACTGTCTGCCATGTTATGCAGCTCTCTACTCTGTGTATGTATATGTCTCTGAGCTTGCAATTCAGTCCGGAGCATGCTCATGTCGGCGCTATTTCTGACTTAATCATCCTGTATATTTTAAAAATCTGTGTGTGGGGGGGGGGGATGTTAATACAGTGTGGTGTGTGTGTGAGAGAGAGAGCATATGAAGGAAGAGATCGGAGGACAACATCAGGTGTCAGTCCTTCCCTTCCATCTTGTTTGAGACAGGGTCTTTGGTTGTCACTGTGTACACCAGCTAGCTGCCCCATGGGCTTCTGGGAATTCTTCTGTCTCCACTTCCTGTTGCACTGTAGGAACTCTGGGATTGCAGAGGCCTGCACCGATGCATCTGGCTTTACATGGACTTCGGAGAGCAGAGCTCAAGTCCTCACGCCTACACAGCAAGTGTTTTACCCCCTGAGCTTTCTCCACAGCCCCAACCAAAACCATCTCTTAGTGCAAAGGTTGAGTTGGCCTGGATTTCTGTGTGCAAAGGATGAAATCCCTGCCTCTGTGTTCAAAAATCCTTTTCAGGATTTAGTAAGCAGGTCGATGTCTCCATGTCAGCCTTTCCAGAAGTCTTATAAATTCTCTTGGTGTCTGATTTCCTGGAAACCCTCCAACTACCATGAGGGCATCTGGGGACACATGATAGCACATGACAGGACAAAGCCTGGCCAATGTTCTTGAAAAGGAAGGAAAAAGATGGAGGCTTGGAATAATCATAATGAATGAGACAAAGGAAATAGTCAAAGATGTTTGTAATGTTTTTATGTTGGGAATATAGACAGGTAAGTCACATGACGAGCTTCAAAACTGACATGAGTGTAATGGACAAATCAATGTGACTGTTTCTAGTCCTAAACTATTTCTGTTTTGTACCCCTTATGAGAAAGAACAATGTGAATTGAAGATGTATGAGAATAACCAAATAAATACATATGTGAAAATAGCCTTTGAGCCAGGCATCAGTGGCTCACACCTTTAGTCCCAGTACTGGGGAGGCAGAGGCAAGTGGATATCTGTGAGTTCGAGGCCAGCCTGGTCTACAGAGTGAGTTCCAGGACAGCCTCCAAAGCAAAACAGAGAAACCCTGTCTCGAAAAACAAAACCAAAAAGAAAAAGAACACAAAACAAAAATAGCCTTTGAAACTGTTTTAACATATATTCATTATATGTAATAATCAAATTCCATTATATCTTCACATGTATGTAATGTATTTTATCATATTCACTCCCCACTCCACCCTCTCTTGCCCCTCCCACTCCTACTAACCCCCATTCTCTCTGCTCTCTGCTTCCTAATAGTCCCCTTTCTAACTTCATGCGTTTTTTTTGTTTTTTTTTTTTTGCTCAAGGAGTTTTATTAGGTTTGTTTTCAGAAGCATGGATCATGGGCTGTTTACAAGAGCACGGACAACTTATCAGTGGCTACACCATAGAAGAAAATCTCCCTCTTTCCCCAACCATCCTTAGCTACCTAAAGATTCTCAAGGAGAACAGCAAGATGTTACAGACAGTCTTTTGTAGTAGGTTGTTATGGGCTCTATAACCTTTGGAAATTATCTGATGCTAAATAAATCACTTCTGATTTACATAAAATTGATATGGTGTGTAATAGAGAAAGAAAAGATGTCTTAATTGAGGGAAAATAGTGAGACATTGGGATGGGACATTCAACAAATGAAGACGAAGACCAGTAGGGAATTTAGCTAGAGATAACAATAGAGAAGCTACAGTAACAAATAAAATCGCTGATGGACTGAGTATCCAGATGCTGGAAGTGACAGAATGCCAGGTCCCAGGGACTACAGGTCTAGTGATTGATAGGAAAGTCAAAGGCCGTGGGCTTTGAAGAAGACACTTCTGAAAATCCTATTAATTCTGTTTTAAAATTCTTTCTTGGCTTATCTTCCTTAATATAAGCCCCTCCATTCCACTTACTTTCTTGCAAATCATCATTTCCTTCTTCTCTGTGACCACACAGAGTGAAGAGTACTGCATACTGTCTCGTGTGGGAGTTAAAAGAAATAGAGAAGCTGAATATACCAGTGACTGCCCGAGCTTGGGCAAAGGAAGGCTTGCTTTGATCAGCACACATTGAATGCATGTGCTGAAATCGCACACTGAATTCATTAACATACACAGCTAGCATATGTTAAAATAGTAATCGTGATTAGTGGATTAGGTGTATGGTAGGTTTTACTGACATTGATATTTTGTAAAATTATAGAAGGGGACAGAAGGCTTTGCTGGTGTGGATGTTACAAGATTGGAAGTCAGTAATGCTGTCTTAGGGCTGGAGATGTAGCTCGGGAGGAAAGTGATCGCCCCAAAGCCCTGTATTACCAAACAGAAAGAAGGAAGGAAGGGGAGAGAGGGAGGAAGGGATTAAAGGCTGGACCATCATAACCTGACTCATTACAATGTCTCCCATTGGCCTGAGGCTCACCAAGCAGGTTAGGTTGGCTGGCCAGTGAACTCTAGCGACTTGTCTGCCTCTGTATTCCCATGCATACAACCACACCTGTCTTTGGATATAGATTCTTGGTATTGAGCTCATTTCCTTATGCTTGCATGACACTTTACCAACTGAGCTATCTCCCCAGCCCATTCTTGAATGCTTTTAAATTTGAAACAGGGTTTCACTGTGTAGCCCTGGCTAGCCTGGAACTTACTATGTAAACCAGGCTGGACTCAGACTCATAGAAATCTGCCTGTCTCTGCCTCCCAAGCGCTGGGAGTAAAGGTGTGGGCCACCAAGACCCACACTCTCTGATTTTTAAAGTTACTCAAGTAAAGGAGACTGAACAAGAGATTTCCTTTGGGCTCCACGGTGTACAGTGACTTTCCAGGTCTGCCCCAAGGCACCACTAGCATCAAACATTGTTCGCGAAGGTTGACAACCACCTCTCACTCTAACCCTCTCCCACCAGAGTCTGAACATCATCTCTAACAATTAACCTTGATCCAGTGGTTTCTCTCTCTTCCCCATGCAGAATTTGTGGTCGTGAAAAGATGTATAATGGGCTTTGGGAAATGCAAAGACAGCTGCTTTGCTGACGAAATTGAGATACAGAACTGCAAATCCAAAAAATGCTGCATTGGCCCCAAAGTGACTGAACTGATTAAAAGCTACCTGCGACACGAAATACCCCACATACCTGACAAGGACATCGTGGAGATGCTGAGGAGTGAAAAGAATTCCAGAGAAGAAACGCGAAGGAAGCACACCTTAGCTGCACTCTCCGAAATCCAAGATGCCAGCCCTTTGCTCGGTATCAACTCTGAAGTTGTCCCAAAAGCCTCCCCTGTGAAGCTTGTCACCTCTAGGACTGGGAGGCGTGGCTTGGGCGGTACTGTTTCCACCAAGAGGCACATGAAACCAATCAGGGGTTCTGCCAGTGTTGCCCCTCAGCCCAGACCTGGACCACCTTAAACATGGCCAGCAGAGAAGCAGATGAGCAGGGGAGTGGGTCTTTCTCCTAGGGTGTCAGGCTCCTCTCTACCTCCACAGACATTAAAATAACACATCACTGTTCTGCCAACAGACCGACAATAAACACTGTTAAGTCACTTCCAGTTTGTGTAATGTTATCATTCTTGCAAGAGTCCCCTACAGGACAGTGCTAGAGAGGGATGGAGATTTTAAGTTTAGATGCCAGGAGAGAGTAAGCCTCAGCTCAGCAAGCACCGAGCATCAGGCCCCCAGTGGGACTCTCATTTGAAGGACTTTCCCAGTGGCAATGGGAAGGAAAGGCTAAGATGCATCTTGAGGAAAGGACCCCTGGGCAGCCAGAGCACAGACAGAACGGAAGCTGGTCAGTATGTGTGTGACCAGTATGCAAATTACTCTGACATTTTCCAGTTGTTCAGCCCAAAACAAGTCACTTAGCCACGCATTACCATCAATTCGTTCTTTCATTAGTGGAGATGCCAACATTTTAGCACACACCAGAATTCAGCAATCTCAGACTACACGGCCTTTCTCTGTCCATATGACAACCACATGGCCCTCAATTCCAGTCTTGGAAAAGTGTTATTGCAATATCGTTGATATGAAACACCCACATGTGTCTCACCGGTATCACCAGGTGAGTTTGGCACATACAAACCTCAGTGAAGTTGTTATCAGGGGTGGAGGCTCTGCTACCCATGGCTTCCACCAAAAACTAAAGCAAAGTCAGAAGACAGAGATTAACGTGTTCTTATCCCATTTTGTTGTTTTAATAAAGTACCTAACAAAAAACCACTGTGAGGAGGAAGGGGCTGGTGGGCTTCCAACTCCAGTCGCAGTCTGTAATCATGGGAAAATCAAGGCAGGAACTTGTAGAAGGCAACCATATCCAAGTCAAAGAGAGTGAGAAAGGAAGGCCTGCATGCATGCTATTGCACTCCATAGCTCTGCTCTTCCACAGTGCAGGTCCCCAAACCAGGAATGTTGCCGCCCACTGTTAGTTAACATAAACAAGACAGTTCCCCAAAGACAGGACCTCAGACCAACCTGCTCCAGACAATTTTTGAGGTGATTTAGGTGTGTCAAGTGGGCAGTGGTGGTGCATGCCTTTAATCCAGCACTCGGAAGGCAGAAGCAGTCTGATCTCTGTGAGTTCGAGGCCAGCCTGGTCTACAGAGTAAGTTCTGGGTCAGGTTCCAAAAGCAACAGAGATACCCTGTCTCAAAAAGTGGGAAAAAAAAAACCCGAAAAACAAAAAACTGACTATCAAAGTGGAGGAGACAGGTTTGTTCAAGACTGGAGCTTGAGGAAGGTTAGTAGATGCAGCACCCCTCAGAGGCCCAGGGTCTGAAAGGAAAAAAAAATTAGACTTTTTTTGTTTGTTTATTCTTTGAGAATTATATATAGTATATGTTTATCATATCTTTCATGCCACCCTAAGTCTTCCCAGCCTTCTCTTCCCTCTCTCTCTCTCTCTCTCTGTCTCTCTGTCTCTCTCTCTCTGTTTTTTTTTTTTGGTTTATTTTTTGGAGTGGGTTTTTTATCTGTTTGTTTTTGAAGATAGTGTTTCTTTGTGTAGCCTAAAGCACCCATCTTAACTGAATTCCAAGTGAGATTAGCCAGAATGAAGCAGGAGTTTCCAAGCTAGGGTGAGTCAGTTTGGACAGAATAGTTAGCCATGCCACACACTGCTAAGCACTCTGAGTAGGGCTTAACCACATCTTTGCAGTGCTAGGATTAAACCCAGGCTTTCACACGCTTGGCAGGTGCTTCACCTCTGAGTTGTACCCCAGCCCTGACATGGGTATCTGGGTGAGCCCCTCATTTAAAATGGAAGGGCACAAATTGGTCTCAGCACAATTACTGAGTGATTTTAACATTCAGACAGCTGGTGAGATAGGGAATTGTTTGGGAGTTGTTTCAGTATGGTTTTTATTGTTGTGAAGAGACACCATAACCAGGGCATCTCTTACAAGGAAAACATTTAATTGGGGTGGTGGCTTTCAGTTTCAGAGACTCAGTCAATTATCAGCATGATGGGAAGCATGGCAGCCTGCAGGCAGACATGGTACTAGAGTAGCTTTCAGTCCTACATCTTGCAGGCAGTAGGAAGTGGACTGAGACACTGGGCAGTATCCTGAGCATAGAAAACTTCAAAGCCCGCCCCCAACGTGATACAGTTCCTCCAACAAGGCCATACCTCCTTCAACAAAGCCACGCCTCCTAATAGTGCCACTCACTATGAGTCTATGGGGACCAATTACACTCAAACTACCACAGGGGCATACTTTGAAAATCTATAGTCTACTAAATTAGAAAATCTGAAAGAAATGCATGTAACACATGTAACCCACCAAAATTAAACCAAGAAGATATAAATGGTGTAACTGGGATGGTAACAAACAATGGAATTGAAATAGCAATTGAAAACCATCTAAAGCGCGCACACACACACACACACACACACACACACACACACACACACACACACACAAGTGCTTCCTGTTCTTCTCGAGGACCTGAATTTTGTTTTCAGCACCCATGTCAGGCAGCTCAGAACATAGTCCTCTGGTTCCAGGGGATGAGTGACCTCTTCCGGCCTCTGTTGGCATCTGCACATATGCACATGCGTGCACGTGTACACACACACACACACACACACACTGTGTTATACATATATGTGTACATATGTGCTATATATACACAATGTTATATATATATATATATTAATTAAATAAATGAACAAATTTTGTAGGTCATAAGCTCAGTGCTGTTACCTGCTGAGTTTCTTGTGTTAGACAATGGAAAGGGGGGAGTCAGCAGGGCTCTCCCCATTTCAGCAGGGCATTGATTGGCTCTTGAGTAAAGAAATGTCTACTCACTCCAGATAGGGAAGGCATCATCAGACCAAAGGTGAAACAGTCATGTTTCTATGGAGCCGTTTACAGGAGCATAGTCAGCTCACAGGTAGCTACATCAAAGGAAAGTGCGACCTTAGACAACCATTTGCCTCTGACACAATGACACATGGTCTCTCTGGGGAGGGGAGGAGCCTCAGAACCATAGGGAACCTCCTTGCTCACTCTGAGAACTTCAATAAACCAAACTTGGGAAAATCGCATGCATGTCACAACTGCTCTGCCTCAAGATGGCAGCTGCCATGTCCAACCCCGATAACAACACAGGGTATGCTTCTTAAGAAAAGGAAAAATGAAAAGTAAAAGACTGACTCCCTAGAGTGCACCACTAACCAGCTACTAACAGACATCCTGGTGGACATCCTTAACAAAATGCAGCTGCTAAATAAGCCTACAGTCTACAGAGTTACAGACATGGCTCCTAGGAAAATATCATAAACTGTCATGTCATACAGTCAGCAGAGAGTAGCATGGAGTGCTTTTAGCTAAAACAACCCTCACTTAAATGAGGAGATCACCCAGATACCCATGTCAGAGCTGGGGCGCAACTCAAAGGTGAAGCACCTGCCAAGTGTGTGAAAGCCTGGGTTTAATCCCAGCACTGCAAAGATGTGGTTAAGCCCTACTCCAAGGGCTCAGCAGTGTGTGGCAGCATGGCTAACTATTCTGTCCAAACTGACGCACCTTAGCTCGGAAGCTCTTGGTTAATCTCACTTGGAATTCAATTAAAATGGGTGCTTTAGGCTGTAACTCGGTGGCTCCGTCCCATCTGCCCCACTGCCTCTGCCCGTTGGCGTGTCCCCATCCCTCGGGCGTGATGTTCTTGCCTCTGGCTTTGGCTTCTCCTATTCCTATCTTCAGTGACCTTGAGTAACCCAGACTCTCCCATTACCGAGAATCGAGCAGTAGGGAGGAGAAGCCATGAGAGACACCTGCTTTCAGGGACAGGAATTTTCAAATGGATGTCTATGGGTAGATGGGGGAAAGGGGTGAACTGAGGCCACTCCTGTGTTGCTCAAATCTGAACATTCATTTAAGGACCACTTCAATATTTGTACCTAATGTAAAAAGCAGGGGCTAGAGAGATGGCCCAGTGGTTAAGAGTGCACACTTCTCTTGTAGAAGGCCCAGGTTCACTTCCCAGCATCCGTGTCAGGCTCACAGCTGCCCGTAACTCCAGCTCCAAAGGATTTGATACCTCTGAGCTCCTCAGGCACCCACACATACATGCTCACACTTCACCCCCAGACATAAACACATATAAACAATCTAAAATAAAACCGAACACATACATACATGTATATATGTATATGCATACATATATGTTGAAATTTAAAAAACAGCTCCTAAGAATTAAAGAACCCAAATTAGCCAAACATAGTCATGCACATTTATAATGCTAGCACTCAAGAGGCTGGGGAAGGAGGACTGTGAATTTGAGAACAGCATGAGGTACATAATAGGACCCACTTTCAAAAAAAAAAAAAATAACAGAAACAACCAAGTGGTTGGTGTACACCTTTAATCTCGGCACTGGGAAGGCAGAGGCAGGTGGATCTCTGTGAGTTTGAGGTCAGCCTGGTCTACAAAGCTACACAGAGAAACCCTGTCTCAAAAAATTAAAATAAAAAAAAAACTAGAAACGAAATGAGGTGAGATGAAGATGGTAATCTGTAGAGGTGAAGATGGTAAACTGTAGAGGTGAAGATGGTAAACTGTAGAGGTGAAGATGGAAATCTGTAGAGATGAAGATGGTAAACTGTAGAGGTGAAGATGGTAAACTGTAGAGATGAAGATGGTAAACTGTAGAGGTGAAGATGGTAAACTGTAGAGATGAAGATGGAAATCTGTAGAGATGAAGATGGTAAACTGTAGAGGGGAAGATGGTAAACTGTAGAGATGAAGATGGTAAACTGTAGAGGTTAAGATGGAAATCTGTAGAGATGAAGATGGTAAACTGTAGAGATGAAGATGGTAAACTGTAGAGATGAAGATGGTAATCTGTAGAGGTGAAGATGGTAAACTGTACACTTGAGAAAAGCATCCGGGGTCACATCAAAAGAA